CTGATACGAAGAAGTGCATGAAGATGGGATTTAGCCTGAAATTTGTTTTTCCAACTTGGAATTTTCCCTTTCTAAGTGCCCACTGTTAAACAGACTTTGGTTGGTTGTAGTACCAAAGATTGGGTATAGTCTTCACGCTCTAGCAAAGTCTCTAGTTCGCTGTTAATTCTCCGAGATGTTTCACTCTCCTGGCAGTCAGGTGGAACTCGACATAACTGCTGAGCTCTTTGATTAAATGCTGGAGAAAAGACCTGGGGATCATGACGTAATTGAGCAACTTTAGTATGGAGCTTCTTCATTTCAGTCATAAGACTGGAAAGATAAGTTTCAATTCCTTTTATGTTTGCAAAGATACGCTTCACTGTTTGGGTAATTAAAGCAATGTAGTCATAAGACTGGAAAGATAAGTTTCAATTCCTTTTATGTTTGCAAAGATACGCTTCACTGTTTGGGTAATTAAAGCAATGTGAGACTGCTCAGAGGCTAACACATTGGACTCTTCTTTTTCTTCTGACTCTTTCCCACTTCCTTTTCCAGTTTTCTCTGACTCCAAAGCCCTGCTAGGGAAAAATGTATGCTGCTTCTTTAATTGCCCCTCCCCAGGTCTGGCTTGGGCGTCTTCTTGCTTCTCCAGCACCAACCCAGATACTTCTCCGCCCTCCAACTCCACGAACTCACAGCAATCAGCTGCATCACCAACAACAAAGTCCTCAGCTCCCTCTTTAGAGGTAAAAAAAAAATCTATCTTAGTTTATTTGCCAGCTGGTAACAGAGTTGGCTCCTCAAAGCTCCTTGGACGCTTGCCAAGAGTCATAGTCCTTCCTCCACTTTCGTTTTTGCACTTCCTTTTTCCAAGTCCCAAATCAAATCCCTGTTGCTGTTAACTTAGAAGGTTTTCCAGAAAGATATATTCTGACCAATTGCAGTCTTATAGTTGAACCTAGATTGTAATCCACGTTAAGATTTATTCTTGCCTTTTTAGTAATAGTAGCAGGATTTTTTTCCCTTGGATTGAAAAAGAAATCTACCTTAACCTCTCAAGAGATTAGGGAACCTCTCCAGGCAGCTCCATGTCTTCCTCAGGATCTTCTGCCTTGGTAAGTATGGTCAGTCCTTCTGATGCCCGCCGTTTAGTGTTGCATTTCCTTGCAGGAATAGTCCAGGAACTAAAGCCTGGTAAGTGAACCTTTTCATCATCTGTGGTCAGCCATGTCTCTTGGAGTGCTATGAAGTCAAAATCAGAGCAATCCCACCACAACCCCATCTGTTGCTCTGTTCTTCCAGCCATCAATTGTCCAAGTCAGTAACTGGATAGAACCTTGTGCTTAATGTCAGTGGGGGTGATTGGGAAATTATTGGAATTTCGGGTTAAAGAACATGAGTCTTTCAGTCTTTCAGTGGGAGTGATGTTATCTAAGATTCCTTCGGTGTCGAAAAAAATGCACTGGTTTGAAATGTGTCTATCTTCACCCCTGCCTTGCTGTAGCATGAGCTCCGACAGATTTTGAGGTGAGCAGCAAGTTGGGTGGGGTGCTTTTGCAGGTTGGCAACTCAGAATAGTATCAACATCCACAAGGGATACTTTACCCCTAGGCAATGATGATTTTCCTGCCTCAGTTTCTCTCCTTAACCTACTTTGGACTGCTTCACGAGCTGTAGCCCTAACAGATGATTTGGGGCTCGTGTCTATTTTTAGAAGTGTTGAGCTAAGGGTGTCCTCCTTGTAACTCAGTCCTACTTCACAGCCAACCTCTGGTGGTAACTGACAAAGATTTGGGCTGCCTCTTGCTTCCACTTATCTATTGGCCTCAATTTTGTTTCCATTTTTTACATTTTCTGTGTGGTGCAATATTTTATCAGGAAGCAGAGGAAGTAGGGTAGAAACTACTCCGAAGGACTCTTTTGTTGTTCTTTTCTGTGTCTGTATTCCGTGTTAAAATAGGGGGAGAACTGGCAGATGGTTTCTCAAGATAGGTGTTATTTTCTTGGGCAGTTGGGGTTGCCAGCTCTACTAAAGGTTTAGCGGCTTTACATGTTATTGCTAATAATTCCCTCAGATCATCTATCCCTTCTATACTATCCACTTGTTCAGTATCTGGCAAGGTACTGAAAGAGTTAATCAAATTTGTCTGTAAGGTTCTTCAAAAAATGACTTGCTATGGGAGGTACAGATTGTTTGCTCAGGCTGTCTCTTCTCAAGGACAACAGTGATAGAATGTCTTTGGAGTTCCTTACTTTTATGTTGCTACAACTAAACTTTAAAGTAATAGCACTCACATTACCAAGATGAGTTATTAATGAGCTAATTTCCTCTGTGTGAAACATACAAAGTGGGAAGATCTCAAACTTGCTCAAAAAAGGCTTCATTGTGAACAACATGCTGGTGATAGCAGGATCTTTAAATATTAGAAGGATTGGTTTAGAGTCTCTCCTGGGCGGAAGCCACTCAGCCTTCTGCAAATCAGTTGACTGCCTTTGACAGTGTAGAAGCTGGCTGAGGGAGAAAACGGCTGCATTTCTGGATCCCCATTTTCCTCTGTTTACTCTCTTATTTTGGATTTGTAGGGTGATCTGATTTGGCTGTAACTGACAGTTATGGTTTAATTGCTTTTCGTCCCATGCTTCCTGAGAGAGTGGTAGTTGCCTTGCATGTTCCTCTGGACGTAGGTTGAGATCTCTTAATGTATTCCTCATTCTCTTTTTAGGTTCCAAAATAGGATCCACCTTTCCACCCTATTACCTGCGTTTGAGACACAGTTGTCTCTGGATTAGCTTGCTTTGACTGACTCAGCAGTAGTATTTGGATGACTGTGTTTAAGCTTAATAAGAGACTCTTGTGGAGTGTCCACTTTATGGTTAACTGCAGTTAGAAGCTCAGAAATTGACAATACCGTTTGTGCCATCAGCAGGCATTGTCTGGTTATAAAGTCATTAACATTTTCCTTTTTTAAGTCCTCATCCCCTTCCTCAGGAATAGAAGCAGAAAGATCAAAAAGTTGGGAGCTCTCTATCTCCACTTGTAGGTCCCATTCCAGGGGATCCTATCTGTTAGAGAAGCTATCAGGAAAAGTAGAGGGAGCTTGACTACTTATGGCAAGTAGCTGTTTGCTTTTTAAATAACTGTCAAGTTTGACCTGTTTGGTAGGCTCGAGCAAAGTCTTAGAAGCAGAATGTGAACACTGCCTCTTCTTCCTTTCCCCCATGGCAGAAATGGTAAAAATACAGGTCTCCAGCAAGAATAATAAAAATAAAGGTCTCCAGCAGAACAAAAGTAAAAAAAAAATGAAATAAAAATAATATAAAATGGAATGGAATAAAAGTAAAAGATCTAGTTAGAAAATGAAAAAGTGGCTTTAGAGGGAGCTCTTAACAATAGATGCTGCCTTGACGCCATCGTTCTGGGCTCCATCCCTTCAGCTGAGCCTTGAGTGTGGCTGGCAGTGGAGAGTCCCTGATCTCCAGCCTCGGCCTAGAAGCACATGAAGGTTTTTCGGAAGTTACGGATGAGGCTTGGAGATCATCAAGGCCTGGCTCTTCGTGCAGGAGGTGCACTTGATACTGGGATCAAATAACTTTTCCTTGTCCTGCTTGTGAACTTCCAAGGCATTGTCCAAACTCCATTAATTGACAAATGGCATTTTTTTTGTGCCCAGAACACAGTCCTGCATGAAAAATCCTACTTTATTGTATTTAAGTAACCATGGTATTTATTTAAGGATTTTATGAGGCTGCCCAATCATAACTGATAACTCCGGGCAGAGCTCATTAATAAAAATCAAAAGCAATTAAAAAACAAAGACCAAATAATATAACACCAATATCGCAATATATGGTCACGATAATTACTGATTACTTTACTGTATATTTATTGATTGCTATAACTTATATCCACCAGATTCTGTCTATTAAATCTGAGTCTGCAAAACAAAGTTCTTTTAAACTGAGGCCTTATTTTATTAGTCACTGTCTTTTCCAGTCAGAAGCTGGGGAACCCTAAGAGTCACCTCCCATATCTTTTTTTCCTCCATTGTAATAGAGCTGCCAGAGGTCTCTGCTACTACTCCTTGAAGTCATTTATTGAGGATCTAGGCCAGGACTTTTGTGGAGGTGTAAACGTTGGGCCTCTCTTCTTCAGAAGGATCATAGTGCTTCTTTATTGGGTATCCTATTCAGACGGACTTGCAATTTGACATAATTTGCCACCTTTAAGCTACACTGGGAGTATTTGGTGAAAAGCAAAGAGTGGATGTGTCCATCCTTAGTCTTCTCAAGGATAAAATGCCTCAGTTCTTCAGCATCTCTTTGGAGGACTTTGTTTCTAGTCCACCAAATTCCTTGTTGCCCTTCTCTAATGATATCCCCGTGTCTCTGAACGCCAGGCAAAGTGTGGCGCCCAGAACTGGACACAATACTCAAGGTGGGAATGGATCTACACAGAATAAAGTGAAACTATAATCTTGGAATTATGCTTTGTGGATGCAGCCTAACATTTTATCTGTTTTGCACATATTTATTCAGATTGTAATAAATGAAGGGATATTTTACATGCATGGTAAACTTGTGAAAAAGCTAAAAAATGTTGGATACAAATATTCAGATGAAACAAAATTTTCTTACTAGGACTTATAGATAGCCAATTAGAAATTACTCATGGATGACTAGTTTTATATATGGTGACTGCAGCAAGGCTGTTATATGCACAAAGATGGAAAAATAGAAAAATGCCCACAATTGAGGAATGCATTATGAAGATGGTAGAACTTGCAGAAACAGCTAAATTGACTTGCTTGATTAGGGAAGGAACAATAATCACTTTTATAAAAGAAGACACATAACACTGGTGCGAAAAGAACTGGACAGCTCCTGGCCCGGTCATGATCCACACCTATTGGCTAAAGAAACTAACAACAGTGCATGAACACCCAGGAGCAGAGATGAACCAATCCAGGGTGACACAAGGAAGGACAGTGCTGATCATGAAAGACCCCCACAAGGGAACAGCACCGTCCAACTCCAGCCAATAACCTGACTCCCCACAACATGGAAAGTGAACTCAAGACAGCTCGCACAAGTGGCCATCAAGTGTGGCAAATACCAAGGTGATGCACTGTCCCTGCTGATGTTCTGCATAGGCTTAAACCCCTTCAGCCAGATAATCACAAGAACTGGATACGGCTACAAGTTCGAGAGTGGAATCACCATCAGCCACCTCCTCTACATGGATGACATTAAGCTGTATGCTAAGAGTTAACGAGGCATCGACTCACTGATCCACCTGACACGGATCTACAGTGGGGACATTGGGATGACATTCGGACTGAAAGGAAACATAGTTAAGACTGATGGGGTGGAACTTCCAGTGGGGCACATAGCAGACACAGAGACCAGCTACAAGTACCTTGGTATCCCACAGTCACATGGGAACCACAATGAGGAGGCAAGGAAGACAGCAACATCCAAGTACCACCAAAGGGTAAGACAGATCCTGAAGAACCAGCTCAAGAACAAGATCCACA